TTTTTTTCTAGCAAAAATGCAAAACTTTCTGTCCTTACTGCTTCTCAGATGTGAAAATGTGATGCTTTCCTTTCTCACATCTAGTAAACTGAAAGTTGTTGGGCTTTAGACTGTTGGTCAGACGTCACCTTGAGCCCTCAGAAATTATAATGGGCATTTTTCACTATTTCCTTACGCTTTATTGACCAAATCTGACCAGATCTGTTGCTCAAGAAAGTAATCTGCAGAATAATCGCCAATGAAAATAACCGTCATTTGTATTTTCTTACATGATTCTATACTTGCAGGAATAAAGATGTAAACCCTATAGAAGCTCAGCTGCATTTGTGCAAAAATAAATAATACATTTATGGCAAAAATTGGCACAAGTAAACCTAAAGTAAGTCCAAAAGCAATACAGTCTAGACCTGATTCTATGGTACATTCAGACCGACATACATACAGTCTGAATGTACCACAAATACACAGGAACTGTAAGTCACACACAGGGCCTTGCTGCCATTAGATACATTCTCTGTGAAGCGTGTTTTTTAAAAGGTGACACAGAGATGTCCAGCAGCCATCAAACTCCTGAGCCTGCTCCCTCGACGCAGAAAGCCTCCAGGAAGTGAAACTGATCCCCACTGGCATCATTAGAGAAATATTTAGTGGGGTTTACTGTACGCTTGTACCACTGGACGTATCGTTTTTGTTTCTCTTGGCTCGCAGATGTGGACTGTGTTATGCCTCCGCTAAGCCAAACAGACTTAGGAATGGTGAAGTGTGCCAAAGCATGCAATGCAAAATGTTTTAAAAAGGAACTTCATACGAGGTTGAGAGGAGAAGCTATGGAAAGAAAGGCCTTCAGATCATAACTCCGACAGAACGCAGCTCTCCCTGTTGAGAAGGTTTCAGTCCGTCTGACCAAACACATCAGCTCGATCAACTATTGTGCTTAATTGCAGCCCATAAAAATCAAACATTGTCATTTAAAAGAGAATATATCACACTCTTGTTTTGCAACAACAACAACAACAACAACTGCAGTGTCACTTACGAATCTGTGTGGAGCATCCTCATTTTAGTCACTCCATGTTCATCATACTTACCACTCAGCTTTTGACACTAGTTCATTCGTGAGACTGAGGTGAGACTGTGCAACGTTTCTCCTGTTTCCCACCACACTCTTAAACAGTCGGGCCCCCACGTGTCGAGGAAATCAGATAAGGATCTGAGCCACATCACTTGTAACATTTCTGTTTTGGCTGATAACTGTTTTGGGAGAGTTCCCTAACTAGCTGTTGTAATCATGTGAGAGCCTATCTCTCAGGCAGCATGCCCATCATGAAGTCTTGTGGTTGAAGATCCTAAAAAGGAAAACTGCATCACCCAAAACGTTTCTTGCTGACTTCACTCACCGCAGCAGCTCAGAAACTTCGTCCCTGCTGTCATTGATGAAGCGCCGGTTTGATGAAAGTGTTAAGACACAAGATCTCCTCTTGCACTTTTGGGGAAGGAGAACTAATACAGAATGTCTTTGAAAATACACTATCACAAGACTGGGACAAGTTATCTCAAATTATCACATAAAACAGTCAGCTGCTGTTTGGGTGGGGAGCTACTGACACAAGTTTTTAACCACTGTTTTCTACACTAACAATAGATCTTCACATAAATTTACAGCAGTCCAGCAGTCGTTCCCAATCTGGGATAAACAAAGTAAACCTGAGAGGCTGCACCTCAGGATGATTAACAGTTTTCTGCTGCACAAAGTTATACTTATTATTTCAGATTATCCTCTAATCTTTGCCCATTTTTTGTGGGAAATTTTGACTCTGAACATGAAAGATTAAAACAAGACAAAATCACTCACCCTTGAACCAGGTTGAGAACCCGTTTCTACGAGTTCGACTGCAATATGTACTCAGTACGTGTGCTAAACAGTATTTCACTGATGGACAGATGGAGAAGCTGTCCTCATCTTGTTTATGGCTCTTGTGTATTTATTTCAGGATGGCTGAACCTCGCTTTAACAATCCCTATTTCTGGCCTCCACCTCCTGCTATGCCTGGTCAGGTGAGTGACTCTGGTATTCACACATTTTATGCAAACTCAAATCTGAGTAAAGTCACTGTATTAATTCTGTGTAAAGGTTTATTGTTTTATTTTATTTTATTGATGATGATTTTGAACAAGGCACTAGTAAATGAAACAGTCTGAAATTTTGGGAAATGCTTGCATTCACTTTCTTGCTGAGAGTTTTAGAAGATTGATGTCACTCTCGTCTGTACAGTAAATGTGAGGCTACAACCAGTGGTAAAAAGTAACAAAATCCACCATCCTGCACCTCCAAAGCTCACAAATGAACATTTTATATTTGGTTCATTCATTTCGTACCAAAAACTACAATAAGCCTTCTTACTTTAGATATTTATTATCTTTAATTAACTCATTGTATTTTTTACACTCACTTTTTTTGTATGGATCAAATAAACAAGATATGTCATGTTAATTAGTGAGCTTTTGAGGTATTGGTAGGTGGATTTTTAGCTTTGGACAGAGCTAAGCTAGCTGTTTCCCCCTATTTCCAGTCTTTGTGCTAAGCTTAGCTAAATGGCTCAAGCTACATAGTTCAATCAATCTTCTCATTTAAATCACAGCAGAACGTGCCAAAATATCAAACTATTCCTTTAAAACAGTGGTTCTTAACCTTGTTCCCAGGATAAATCTGAGTGGTCACCATATGATTATAGGGAGACCTTAAACAGTTGAACATTTTTATTTAATTTTCCCTCATTTCAGCCTTTACTTGTGAAATACTGGACACAGTTTATTCTGGCCTAAAAAAATTTGAAATGAAAGAAATCAGAGAAAGAAAGAGCTCACAGCTCATGGCCACACTATGACATTGCTTCATTTTAAGGGGAGACAGAGATGTTTGCAGAAAGGGAGTCTAGGGTACAATGTCACCTATCAGCCATTAGAGGGAACCATCGCCTTATAAAGTGACACTGACTGAACTGATGGCTGTTCTCTTGTCACAAATGTTGCTTCCTGGCTGTCAGCTGGATAACCTAGTCTTGATCAATAAAATCAAGGAGCAGCTGATGGCAGAGAAGATCAGACCGCCACATATGCCCGCTGCCTCAGCCCCTTCCCAGCAGCCCTTACTGGCTCCTTCCAACCAAGCAGATGGCGGCCAGCACGGGATGTCTAAAGCCCAGCAGATGCAGGTTCTCCACAGCCACAGCCCCTCTCAGCCAGATATCGCCCTGCACGCCCGCCCGGCCTCCAGCTCAGTCACAGGTACTCCTCCCCTCACCTCCCCAGTCAGACAGATATAATAATACATTATCATTGATGGTTAAAATCATGATGATGTGACTTTTTTGGGGGGTATGCACCAAACAAACTTCTTGATTTGTTGGACAGGGTGTCTATGCAGCACTATAGTACTTCATTATAATTTTACTTTGATCAAAAATGTCTGATGTTGTATTTGGCCTTATTGAAATTTTGATATGTGGATTAATTGTGCAGCCCTAGTTCTGAAGATTCTGGACCCTCTTTAACAGCTCAAACAAACATATTTATCATTGTTTTGTAACCCTTGATTTTGACATAAAATTCATAGTGAGCTTTTGGGCACTCTGGTGGCCCAAGAGCTATGGCACTGAATGTAACATCCTTTGTTTGCGACTTGCAGATAAGCTTTGTTGCATATCAATTCCATCTTTCTATTTCCTGTCATCTTACTATCAGCCACCTGTCCTCCGAAAAAGAATTTCAAAGAAGACACAAACAATGCATTACAATGCTTTAAATGTGCGATTAGTGTTGACAGTGCTTTGAACACTGTACTACCCCATCCAAATATTTACTTCTATGATGTAATAACAATTATTTGTGCTAATTTAATGTGAATGTGAAAGCATAGTTTGTGGCAAAGGGTTACCTCCTCAATCATTTTCTACAAACTGGGTTTAAATCAGGTCAGAAGCAAAAGAAAAGATTGATTTTGCAATTTTTATGTTTAGTTTTATACATCCAAAGCAAGTCTGTGAGACCTCAAACAATAAGAAAGTAAAGCCACTGTCAATAAGGGTTAAGACTTGAGACTGTATGTTGCTATTGTATGTTAAACTAAATGAAAATATATTTTGTTGGGTGTCTTTATACCAACTGTAATATGTTGATATTAAGACACTCGAGTTGATCAGGATGAAAGACGTATGTATTCTGTAAATGTGAATTTCCTGCACACTTTACCAGGTCGCATTCTTGGGGATGTAAATTTGAATCTGGACGATAAGGCAGCTATAAAAGCCAGAGGATTATGGGAAGACTGGCATCTTCGTCAACTTATCGACCATCCTTCCAGGACGAACCACGTCTCAGGTAACCACAGTTTGTACACACAGCTTTCAACATGTTTTCCCCTTGTTGCAGAAACAAAGATTCCTACTCAGGTCTGCCAGTGTGTGGCTGTCCTTTATCATTAACTGCCTAAAGGAAATTTATCTTACGGGGGATAAATAGAGTAACTTATTACTACTGACTCTTATTTTATCTTATCTTACTAGTAATACAAAAGGCAGACAGAATAATGGAAACACTTACTGGAAAATTTATTTGCAAACACAGCTACAGAGGAAAGTCATATTTTAACTGCCTGCCCGCCAACGAGTTTGCCAACGTCTTATCATGGGTCCATTATGTCCCTGTTGGTTTTTCTGTGTTCGCCATACTGTGTTATCATGAGTTTTGAGACTGACACGGATTTTCCAGTGTTTGAAGTTTGCACTTTGAGAAAAAGGATTTGGCGACTGTCTCTTAGTTTGGTTGTGTTGCTTTAAAAACTCTCATATCAAAGCACTGTTTGCTAGATAGTTTTTATAGAAGTCAAATGCTGATTACTTGCATTCATCCTTATACAACCCACCTTTTTAGAAGCGTTGTGTAAGTAAGTATGATTATGTTACTTTACAGCTGAAGTCCTTCACCTTATTTATTTATTTTGTCTATTCCCTATATATACAGTATGCATTGAGCCTCTTTGTAAATCTCAAATTGCTGCCCACATTTCTGATTTGTTCACAGCGATTCAGAAAGAATTAATCAATGAGGGTAAATTAATTACACACATATGTTTACATATCAGTGTTTAGAAATGAAAGTATATAAGAGGTCAACCCGAGCTGCAACATCTGAAAGTCAGCTACAAAACGCATTCACACACTGATTTCCAATTGGAAAAGCTGTTCTTCATTTTTATACTGAAATTCAAAATATAATTTTTTATGTTTGTGTTTTTTCCCGCTGTATTGTATTGGGTTTTTTTTTTTTTTTTAAATATAACCCCTCAATAATAACTGCTATCTTCTTGTCCTTTTGCACCTATCAGGTGTGGCGCTGGCATCCAGAACAGGTAACCTCAACACCTCAGAGATCATCACCCCCACCACACCCACCTCGAGCAGCCACAGCCGGCTGGGCGGAGCCCCCACACCTCACCTCATCTCAGGGTTAGCCTGCAGCCACGGGATGGAGCCTGGGAAAAACAACGGGGGTCTCGTGGGGCTCCTCGGCCCTCCTCCGAAGGAGGAACGAGGGCGTAAGAAGATCAAAGCAGAGAACGGGTCTTCTCTTTTGGTGGTGCCCTACCCAATCCTAGCCTCAGGCAATGACCAGTCCTGTGTCACCATCACTGCCAAAGAGGGGAAAACCTACAGGTAAGAAAAGACATTTTGTTATGCAGCTGCTCTCCGTTGGTAGTTTCACATTTCTTCTTAAATATTACTGTTGCTCACAGTGTTTTGTTTTTAAGATAAGTAG